TAAAAAATAAAAAATAGAAAGATTAATTTTTTTAAATATAATATATCATGTAAAAATTCCAAGTCTCCCACCTTATAATTATTAATATTATTACAACAAAATAATTAAAATCTTTGAACCGTAATACTTTTAGTAAAATAAATTTTTATAGATGCAATATAAATATATCACAAAATATTCTTAGTGTTATACTCGTATAAGTTGACAGATCTTCGGCTCAGAACCACTTTTTGGATTGTTTTTTGAAATTGAATTTAACACTTACATTACAGTGACTTACTCAATGATGAGGTACACTCGACAGTCGACACCTACTGTAAAACATAATGGTTACCACTATCTACTCTCTTTTTTTTTTTTGTTAGTGTTTGGGTTTCACTTTTTAAGCTTTAGTTAGTAACTATGCGGCAGATTGGATTGCAGGGATATATGCCTTTTTTTAAAACGATTTGTTTACTATTTTGCTTGAATTATTTATACGTAGTAAAGTATAGTAATACATAATTATAAAATATTGATATAAATAAGATTACACGAGGAKGTATTCGTTTTGGATAAACACATAGGTACTATTTATTAGTTTTGAATACAATTATACAAATGTAGTACCTTAGCAAACGCAAGTGCAAAATTTAATTAGTGATCACTGATCACTAAGACATTTTAACTAACGTTCTATATCTAGTWATAGTATTAACATTTTATAAAATATTTTTTTCAAAAGTAAAAGATTTCTACTACAGGTTCATATTAATAATATATACATGTTATATATTGTTCTGGATGTATTCAACTCACAATCGTTAATTTTCTTATTTTTCTATGTTCAAGCATTTTGTTTATATCTAACATAACGAGTTTAATGTGCAACCTCAAAAATGTCATTATAACTTATTTTACTAACTTTGTATGTACCTACCGTAGTACTGTAATATTATTGTGTTACATATATGGTGTTGGAGTTGGGCATAGTGAAACGACTGCGTAATTATTTTGAACAATCATAATACTTTTATAACTTGTTGTGTATAAATTATAGATGAGTTGTTTAATCTTTCTGTTTTTCATTTATACCTATATTATGTTAATAATTTAAATTAACTATTTTCAAAATTTAGTTATTTATATGTGTATATGAAAATAATATTATTATATAACTATATAGTCTATAGAGAATTTCAAATATAATTCTTAAAACAGCTATAAGACTTAAAAATCAATATTGTATACTTCAATATTTTATAAAAAGAGATCTATAGTCGTAGTGATTAAATATCTAAACTAAAGTCGAATGCTGAAATAAGAACTTAACCTTACTTCAACTTCAAACACTTACAAAAAAATAGCCTGTAAGGAAAATATAATGACATAAAATAAATATACCTAATTAACTTATATACTTTGTGTATGGTATTTTAAATTAAAATCACTACGTTTAAAAACATATGTCACATGTTAAGATAATTTATCTATATCAAATCAAAATTGTTTTTGAAAAAAAAATTTTAAAGGGTTTTAATTCGGTAAAACAACATTTTTAAAATACACTTGCATAATATTATATGCATATTGTATTCTTATAATTTTTTAAGTTCTCCAATTTTTTGAGTTTGAATATCATAATGCAATTTTTAATTTCAYWCTTTAAAGCAGAGAATTTTCTCAAGTATTTTGATGTATAAATATCGAATTTACTGCGAGTAGCTTATGAGTTATGTATATTTAAAGTTTTGATGAGCGGAGTAGTAGAAAAATGTTTTTCTTTCGAAGGTACCTAAAATGAAAACTGGACGTCGTTTTTCAAAAAAGTAAAAAACATAATTTTTCAAAGTACATGTTGTTTTGTAACAACTTGAAACCATGTAAAAAAAAKTCCAAAAACATTAATACTTTTTGAAAATAATGCGTTATTTATGATAAAAGAATCATAATTTATATAAACAAACTTATATCAGCGTTATTATTTTATTTTATCATCGAATTTCAAACACTGCTAAAGGTAAATACAACACCGATTGATACGAGAGCAGATCATATTRTATAGGTAGTGTTAGAGATATTTGGTCATTTCGGAGACCATTTAGGTATAAAAACCAAGGCACAAGGTGGTTAAACTATTTTTGTTTGAACCTATAAAATCTTTGATTTATTTTTCCATTGYAGATCAATTTGTACGTCAGTGCAAGTAA